TATATATATATATATATATACATATATATATATATATATATACATTTATATATCATGGGTTGGGTTCACGTGGGACAAAGAGTTTCTCGTAAGACCCGTAAGACCAATTTATGTTCATTGATCAACTTTATAAGCTATGATCTAATGGTATAAAGTTGCACGGTGACAATTTTATGATTATTGAGAAATCTTGTGGCGTTTATGAATGTTTAGATTGTCAAATTGTAGATCAAATCCAAGGTTTGAGCAATGGTCTTACAAGTCTCACGAAAAACCTATGGTCTCACATGATCCCAAGTCTATATATCATATCTTAAATAATATAAGTATAAAATATAATATAATGTTAATAAGTATTTATAACCAAAATAACATTTGTAATAAAAAGACTAAAATTATGTACACATTAAACTTGAATAAATATTAAATACCAACTTTGTTGTGCATTTTACCAGCATCAGTTGGTGTAGAATTGTAGTGAAATTGTGTGAAAATTGATAAAAAATGGGATTTTGATGATGATGAGATGGTCTTTACCGAGCAACAAATCCACATCCAGTTTCTTGAATAAACATGTTTAACATAATTATGCACATAATAAAAATAATAAGTTTTCAAGTATTATTATAAGATCTTCTTAAAATGATAAGTTATACAAATATTAATTGTGCTATTAGTTTTATATCCAAATAAATATTTATTGTTGTCAAAGCACGGCAAAAATGAACTTTTAAAAATTAATCGGAAGTGAAAAAAAGAAAATGGGGAATAAGAGCGAAGTATTAAAAACGAAATCTAGATAAATATAAACGAAATAATCTCCGACTCATTAGTAAAAGCCTCCTGATAATACTTGATGACTCGGGTTCAAATCTTTCTGGTAACAATTCTATTTAATTTTTAATGACTATACAACTAATATTGTACTATTTGATGCCCTTGGGCTTGGGATGCCCTAGGCCACTACCCTCGGCTGCCCACCTACATGGCTGGCCATGCAAAACAAATTCGATACCACCACTACATACACCTCTCTGTTACATATACGTTGACAAAACAAATCCACCATCACCACCACTACATACACCCCTCCGTTATATATATACGTTGGCCAATCTGACCCAACCCTCACACTGTTAAATATAATGACACTGATACACTTTATATCATTGCCATATAATCATCATACCAAATAACGCATTATTTCATAAATGAAATCACTTTCATAATAAAATTCACATGTATTCAAACACAGTATGAGAGTTAATGCTCATAATCCAACCATATCAAACCAGTATAATATCGCAATAATGACCATTTAATAATACATGCATTTCCGTTCGAAAATGGTTATAAGAAATTCATCTCAATCATGATATACGAGGAAATAACTTAAACCAATACGAACAATCAAAATCGAACGTGAATCCAAAACCGAACACTTGAATCTAAATTAATTAAACACGGATCACAAGTAAGCCAATAGAATTCACCATAACTCTGAACAATCTCTAAGTCACGTAAACGATATTCTGAAAGACCCCAAATGAACCAATATCAACGAATCTAACATCTTAGATCGACCTTTACGTAGAAATTACTTGATGAAAGTCCAAAACCAAACTCAAAGCTCCAACCCAAAAATCAACCATAATGAAGCCACAGATTTACATGTGAATTAGTTAATTAGTTTATATATGAATGACAAGGATTCATATGAGAATCAGTTAATTAGTTTATATGTGAATCACCCGAGAGTTCATATGTGAATAAGTTATAGTTATGTCACATAGGTTCATCAATGAACCTGTTTGTCGCCTATTTGTAACAATTTACAAAACTAACATTTCTATTTTTTGCATAACCACAATTTTTGACTAGTCAAAACCATAATTATTGATCAGTCTTCGATTTTGACCTTAGTTCTAAATTGGTGTTGGATCAATTGTAATTGTTCCTTTGTCCATTTGGCTTATTTTTTACCATTCAGATTTAAATTATAAGAAAACATCTTGATTTATATGATTTAAAAAAAAATTTAATTACACAATTTTAGTTAAAAATATGAAATGTTACATCTTAAAAGTGAACACAGATTGTAAATCTTTAGTTATTTGCTTGAAATGTGGACACAAATACGGGAATGTGTTATCATTGCATGTTATTTGTTTTCGTAATTCTTGGATCATGTAAAGATTGTCATGCGGTATCCAAGAGATTTCTTTCAATAGAATTGGAAACCGATATAGCTTAATCACTACCATTAGCCTCTTGATTATAACTGAGGATGTTGCTGCATGAGTGTGTGTTCTTAACATGAGAATCACTCATCTAAAAAGACACTTGCTTAATTTGGATAAAAAGAAGAATGCTCTGTTGAAACAAGGGGAAGAGAGTGTGAGTGGACAGAAGGCAGAAATATTCACTAGAAAGGAGTGGCAAATAAGACAAACAGAACAAAGTCTTGTCTATGTTCTAACAATATTGGATAGAAAGAAATGCATATGAGATAGAATCTTAGTAGAGATCATGAATACCAACATCTGAGTACTAATACATTGGATAAGAGATTTTTATCTGCCAATAGTAAGTGTACTCCTGCTGGCATTGCTGTTTTTGGAAGCCAGATATGACTTCAAACCAGTTTGGACAGTCTCAAGGGCTGTGGTTCTTATGAGTTATGAGCACATCTTGTTTGTTTGCTGCCAAGGGTCAAAGCAATCATTTAGCTGTGAAATAGAGGAGCAGCAATAACACAATAACAAAAGAAGATAGAAAGATGTAGGAAAATTTCTAACCTGGGCTAAGAGAGAAAAGTCCTTTTCATTTACGGATTTTCCTCAATAAGAGTGTGCTTCTTTTTTTTCCTGTTCATTGCAGTAACAAATGGCTTTGGCATGTCTGTCAAGATCAAGTTGCAAAGCTCCTCTATCTTCAGCAAGGTTTCAGGACCCTCCTTGTTTAGATTCTTACAGCACCTGATTTCTAAGGTATGCAGTTTCTGCATTGTTCCTTCTTTCACAGTCAATCGTTTTAGATTTTCCAGCTTCCAGAGCTTAAGAACTCTGAGGGCAGGGAACCCATTTTGTGGTAAACACATTTCTTCTCCCTTATAAGAAGAAGCTAGAAGCCTGAGGTCAATCAAGTTTTTCAGCTTAGATAGTGTTGGCATGGGATCTTCGTCTAGCTGTGAGACAGATAAAGTAAGGACTTTGAGTCCAGATGGGATCTGGTACCAATCAAGAGGTTTGAGTAATTTTCCTAGTAAGTACAGTTGAGAGAGATTCTCGAAACTTGAGAAAGGTTCAATAATCAGCTCTGAAGGCTGACCCATTCTGTTTATGGATCTTAACCTTAGAGATTGAAGGCAAGAGGGTGATGAAATCCACGAACTAATTTCTTCATAGGAGGATGAATGGCTTCTTGTTGTGGTGGTTGTTGAACATGCCTCTCTTGTCAGATCAAGTTTTCGAAGGTTGGTCATCCTCTTCAAAGTAGAACCGATCTTTCTTGCAATCTTCTCATCTACAAACAAACCCTGTAGAGTTTGCAGCTGAAGTGGATCTGTATGTTTCATTGATTTGACAGGTATGTCCAGATGAGCTCCGTTCAGACAAAGATGACGAAGATGCTTCATGTTCCAAATAGAACTTGGGACAGTTCTGATTTGTGTATGCTTGATGTCCAGTGTTTCAAGGTGGAGCAGGGCACCAAGTGAGGAAGGAAGAGCGTTCAAGAAAGTACATCTCAAGCCTAAATATCTCAATAAAAATAGATTCCCCAGAATCTCCGGTAGCCGTGGTCGATCAACACCCTCCAAATCGAGCACCTTGAGTAATCCAAATCCTCTGGTTCCAACGATTGTTTCCAAAAATATTCCTACTTCATCTGCAAACATATCTTTCTTTCGGTTGTTTAAGGATATGTAGGACTGTAGATTCTGGTTGAAAGCTTGTGAAGTGGTGTAGTCCTTGATATTGGTGCATTCAACAACCCGACGAACTTCTAATCGATGTGAATCTGCTTCTACATAGGAATTTTCTTCGGACTTTTGGTGTAGGTGGAAGAGGCCTATTTCTAGACCCCTGGGCCTGAAGATGTCATGTAGGGATGCAGTCATTCGGCATTTTTTGGGACTCTCATCGGATCTATTTTTTGTGATTTCCACCATGTTCCTGTTGACAAGCTCTTCCAGATATCTCTCTACTATGTCTTCCAAAATAATCCCTTCTTCTGATGGCTTCACAAAGCCCTCAGCCAGCCACAACCGAAACAACCTTCTCACAGGTATTTCAAATCCTTTTTCAAAAAGCCCTAAATAGAGAAAGCAAGGCTTCAAGTGGACTGGTAGATCATTGTAACAGAAGGCTAAAAGATCAAACGTTGGGAATTTGGTAGGTAGAACGTTTTGTTTAAAAACACGCAACCAATCTTTATACTTCACCTTTCTTGTTGATAGAAAGCCAACAAGCAGTGCAAACCTCAGGGGATTTCCTCTGCAGATTTCTGCTACTTTGCGTTTCAAATGGTCCTCCATAATATCGCCTGGTACTGGGCTTCCTTTCACTAGACCTTTTACCTTTTCAATGAAAGTCTTCATGGCTTCCTTCATGTCTAGATGCTTGTAGCAAAAAGGGCTTGTTACATCTGCAAATGAAGCGGTTCTTTCATCAGGAGTGGTGATCACCACCCTACTTCCATTGTGTGCATCCGGTAAGGCCCCTCTTAACTTTTTCAAGAGATCAAGACTTTTGATATCATTGATGACTATGAGGTACTTTTTATCATTCAAGAACCCATGAAGCCTCCCTATCAGAACCTCATCTATGAGTTTCTCCATGCCCTTCATGCTGGTCACCTCTTTCAGTATAGCCAAAATAAGATGCCTAAAGGACCAGTTTGTGTCCACGACCAGCCAAGCATGGCATGGGAACATGTTAGTGACCACTCTGCTCTTGTAGATTGTCTTGACTTGAGGTGCATTATCTATGCCAATCTCTCCAAAGACCGAGATTATTTGAAGTGGTTCTATATTGCTGGTTATCTGCCGCTTCAGAAGCTCAAGCGCTTTTTTCTTGGAAATGGTGTCTTCTATTCTTGGTGGACGATAAGCATCAGGCTCTTGCGTTTGTTGTTCGTGCTGGTGCATCCCATGAGAACCCTGGAGCCGTGCCAGAACCGATGAGCGTATTTCCCATTCGTGAATTTCTTTGCTGAATCGTTCCATCTTAGATTTGAGTCTGGGAACGTTCTGAGAATATTCCATTGTATCTGGAAGTACAATTCTGAAAAGCCTCACCTCTTTTGCAATGACTGAAAAATGCTTCTTGACAAAACTCATCCTTTTCAAACGGGTTTCTATGAAGCAGAAAGATTCTATGGTGTCCTCAACACGATAGACGATACCTAGAAGGCTAAGCACCTGACTCATAAGCATCGTGCTACTTTGCTCTTGGTATTGTGCACTATTTAAAATGCTTTTAAGCCCCTCCATAACCTTTTCTACTTCATCCTTAACCTTTTCAAAAATTTCTGATTCTTCGTCTAGGAAGTCAGAGAGTTTCTGTATCATCACAGAAACAACAGCTTCAGCAGCCATTTCTCTAGATCGATCTCTCTACTATACAGAAGGAGAAAAAAGAAGTTTTAGATGCAAAATCAGCAAAGAAGATGGGCCAAGACTAGCTTGCAGTTAAAAGTAATCTTTCTTTCTCACATCACGACTCGACTTTTTTGGTACATTGATCATCGATGACAATGACAAATAAGAAACAATTGGCATACCAATGAGTTTTACGTCTGTATTTGGTTGTTAGAATACCCGAAGCCTAATTCAGATGCTTATCTTGGACGCGTATGAAAGGCCGACAGTTTTATTTTCAAATCTAAAATCTATCTATTCAGATTTTTGGACGATGAGATGGCCGACATCAAATTAAAACATCGGTGTCATGTGGAGACGTTGAGTATGATCCTATACTATCGCCCGATAAAACAAATATATAAGATGTCTAGTATTAATTGACTATAGCCCTTATTTAATCATCAATGATTGTACTTTTGCTTATACATGAGGAAGCCAGCTAAATTGGTAAATCCCTTGTGTTACGATAAATATCGAGGAGAAATGGTCCGAATATGGCGGATGTGTCGTATCTCCAACATAGCAACACGCTCCTTCAATGGAGGTTATAGAAATTATTCTATAATGTCGAGTCTACAAGACTTTGATAACATGTAGGAATATATAAAACCTCATTAAATTACTATACTAAAAAGTCGTTGAGGAGAGAAAGAAGGTTCCACACACTTATATTGTGGAAAAAAGGTGAAAGTCTATCCAACATTAGTAGATTTACTTCTCAGTTCTCATCTTATATATATGGTGTGAAGACAAGTGATTGTGTATCTGGATTAGATTCTAAAAAAGGAAGAATGTAACATGATGTAAACATATCACCACAAAATAAACGACTTTTACCTCAGGAAATTTTCATTAGTGATTATCGATGGGTCACCCAGAAAATAACAACGGTTCAGTAGAATCCAATGTTTTTAAACAAACTACCAACGGATCACCCAGAAAATACCTGAGTAATCTATCACTGAATTAAGTTTTCGACCAACAATCTACCCACCAACTTTTGTGACGAATCACCCCTTTAACGACGGATTTTTCTTAAAAGTCTTCCATTTAACTGTGTGTAGTGGATTAGTAATCTAATTTCAGGATAGTGTTTGACAATTTAGGTAGTGGAGTACTTTTATTTTGATTTTTTTATGTTTTGCATTATTATTTTATTTTAAATAACATTAAAATGAAGTTGATATGAGTTTGATGATGACCATAGCCCTTAATTAATCGTAGATGGTTGTCTTTTTGCTTATACAATCGTTAACCCCTCACCTAATGCATTGACTTTTCATGTGGAGAAATCGCGCCAGGATGATCCCATATTAATCATCAATTATATCAAACAAATTATAGCAAAAAAACAAGTGTTATTATTATTTTTAGTTTGACATCCATGCATATTGCTATTCACAAAGTTGATTTTGCAAATTCACTTGTGAACCTAGGGTGTTGTTGACTGTAAAAAGCATTCATTCACGTTTGAATCCAGAATGTTATATATTTAATATAACAACATTCATTCACATGTGATTCCATAATATTAGTTAATGCAATAACATCCGTTTACTTGTGAATAATGCTCTCTTATATGATATGGAGCTCTAATCGGATTGTATCAGATGAAATTTTGGGTTTTTTATATGCTAGGAAAATAGTGGATGCTTCTGGTTTTTAATAATAAATCTGAGTATAGTTCAAATTTGATTGAGATAATTTAGGAATGATTATGAATGTATAATATTTGAATTTTTGATTGAGATGATTTAGGAATGATTTGGTTACAAGATATGATCAAATCACCAGCTCTTAAAACTGTCAAAATGAATGGCTATCATAATTTCTCACATTTAACTGTTCACCTAACCTCTGTGATCAACTCGAGGACAAACAAGAGTGCACCACTGTCCTAGACATTCACGTCATGTGCCCTTTAGGACCAATCCCATTGTGTCTCCCAGGACAGTGCAAAGGGAGTTGCCCCTAAGACCTTGCAAGGGGGCGCATTCCCCTTGAACCCCATTTATGGTAATATAAGGTGATATAGACAACATTTGTGAGTGTGCACTCCACACCTCGTAGATCACGTTATATTTGCATTGTCACCTTGTTGATTCCTTATAAATCACAATTACACCAAAATGCTTGATAACACTAAAATTACCAGCATGTTCTCTGTCGAGATTACAAGATTGTGAAGTAATAATAACAAGGGAACATATTGCTACATGTTGATCCCATTAGATTCGCTAGGTAGTTATCAGCTTAACTCTTCCATGACTTTCTTCCTTGAAGTGTTTGGTGAGGCCAAGATGTGCCATCAAAAGCCATACATGAGTAAGAAGTTCTCCACCCTTATGAAGCTGTTGAGCGTGGTCGAATCCATTGCATTGACCTGCTGCGTAACCGAGAATCTCCACCCATACACCACTCACCATCTTCCACATCTCATTAGGATCCATATTCTTCAGTTTAGCTGCAAGGTTGCAAGCATCAAAAAGTACTGATTCACTCACCTTCACTGTCCCTGGAGAATAATTTCTACTCACTTGGCCTAACGACTCATATGCCTCAGCCTTACTTGCCCAGTTTTTCTCTTCAAGAAAAGCCAGGGCCTGAATACAGGTATCTTGGAACCTAATCTTTCCAATTCCAATCGGCAACATAAAAGGACAATCGACCAACAAATATAACATGTAATCTGCTAAATGCTTACTGTAATGCATGTGATCATCCCATTCTGGTTTGATTCCATGATTACCATCTTTGAGTCGTTTACTATTGTCCCCCTCGTAGCAGATATCAGTTGCAATATGCCAAATGAGAATACTATGGTCGAATTCCACTTCCACTGTCCATTTTAAGTCGTCAAGATTTTTGTGGGTTTCTAGAGCAACTGTCCCTGGACAGGGGGCCAAGATCTTAAGATGGAATAATGGGTCAGTAGATTTTTCATGGAAGTGCTTAAAAATAAAAGATGGCAGATCGGTCGACATCTTGAGATGTTTCAGATGGCGAACACTCACCCAGTACTTAACCCATAAGTTCCTAAGCCTCTTACGGAAACAGATGAAACTCGAGATTTTGTAAAATAGAGAGGATTTCTGAGTGAGACAAAAATCTAACAAGCCGAATTGATACATAGAGTGTGACCATCTTTTATCTTTCAGTGCTGATTGGAGTGATATGTCTGAGGAGTGGTTAACACTTGGAAGCTTTGAAGAATACCGACTGAACCATAGAATTGCCCAGTCAGAGAAAAGTAAAGACAGGGTTGCGTATAAATCAAGCAAAATAGCACCTATCAACAATACATAAGTAATCACAACATCAACGAATTCATGGTTATGTGATCTCAAACCTATGGATACAAAAAAAATCACCAACACGGAGAGGGTAACGGAGGAAGTGAAGAGACGGAAAAACAAACCGAAAGGAGTATATATGATAGGTGCTTTTGTGTAGAGGACATCATACGCAAAACCAAGTTCACATTCAATCACCTGAAATGCATCCTCATACTTTAGTCCCTGGAAGAAAGATCGACTCATATCTCGCTCATAGAAGCTGAGGACGAGATCCACAAAGAGCCACTTGAACTTTAGAGTCTCAAAGAAGTAATTCGCTGTTTGCAATATGCCATCATGAATAGAAATGGGTAGAGTATAATCTCGAGGTGAGCTTCCTTGTTCCATTTGACTAGCAGTAACACGGTACCCCTCTGCCTCTTTTAAGCTGAACTCCTCCATGAACTTCGTGTAATTGACCTCAGCTGTATGCCTAGCCGCAAGAAAGGAATCCTGAAGATTCTTCCGATCAGCAGAGTTGAGAACCCATGTTCGCTCACCGTACTTAATGATCCCACACAGAAACATAGGAACGGTGAGGAAGGAAAGAAGAGTGCCATCCCATGATACAAGTGTGATGTAGATAGCTGCAAGAGTTTGGACAACACCACCCAGCAGGTGCCTTAACCATAATTCATTATCGACTAAAGCATAAGCAGTAATGGTATCCGGCCCACCAAGGTGAAGTAACAGAAACGGTGCCCAGAATGCCATCAGCCTTAGATCTCCATACTGGTTGTTGTTGCTGTCACCAGAATAGGGGGAACTCCGGTCAACCAGGATGCCAAGGGCAACCGTGGCTATCCAATCTGCCATCAAGTAGGCACACCAAATAAAAGCTCTGATCTTTCTCTTGGCAATATACTTTCTCCGATTACCACTGTAGATTAGGTATATTTGCAGTGCAAGGCTGATGAGTACCAATCCTCTTAGCTCCCATTTGTTCCATTGCCTCCTCAGAGACTCATGGAAAATCTGAATCAGTCTCCTTTTCTGGTCAACAAGGATCAAACTGCTCAAAACTGTCCAAAACATGCACATGTAAAATCATTAAACTAAAAAATTAACAAAAAAGATAAGAAATGTGTTGAATTACTGATATTGAATATGATCAACTTACTGTTGAGTACCATCGTTGATATTCTAGGATCTAACGAATTTGGTCCGGTGAAGTTGGTCCTATATGAGTTGGAAACTAGATGTAAACCGACACCTAATTTGATTAACGAAAGATTAGTTGTTCACAAGGCATTGTTGATGTCATTGGTGGTTGGTTATTTAAATTTTAATATCGAAAGCAACAGGTGCTATCAACTTGTTAGCCAAGAGGCCTGAAAATTTCCTCATTCTTGTGGAAGGAAACTGTTGAAAGACATTTTTAGTCTAGTATATATTTGTTTTATCTTTTTAGCGCTTGTTTAATGTTGGGGGGATCATGGCTTGTTTTCTGAATAAACGACGGTCAGCGGAGCTCTTTGTTAGATTTTTAGAGGAGTTGTATTGAAGAAATATAAATAAGTTGTGTAGACTGTTTTTTGGTTTTAGGAATAACTAGCCGTTCTAGAATAAGTTCTTCAGAGATTTTCAAAGTTCCCCTTCTCTCATATTTCTTACAAGTAGTTGAGTTTCTAGACTTGGAGATGCGCTTAAAATTGGATCAGAACAAGATAGATATGGTGTTGGGACTTATTGGAACAACGAGATGCAAGAACAATTGCATAAAAAAAACATGCTTTCATTTAGAACTGAAGCAAACATAGATTTTTTAAGAATAACTAATAGACCGTCTAACCGACAACTGCTGACCCACATCAAGTCTGCTTCAGATCTGTGGAAAGTGATTGAGGATATGTATCTGCAACAAGCGTATGCCAAGAAGAAGTATCCCAAATTTCAAAATATCAAACAAGGAAGCAACTCTGTCACTGTATATTACAATTCAATCAAGCGTTTGTGTGATTCCTTACGATCAATTGGTGAGAATGTAACGGAGCTCGATCTAGTTCTACAAACTCTTCACGGTTTGAACACGAACTACAACACATTCATCTTGAAAATAAAGAACTCGGAATCTCAACCGACTTTTGCACAGCTTCGACCACCACTGTTGATGTATGAGCAACGAGTCAATCAACAATCTAAGGTGTTACCTATCTCAGGATGTCAGTTTTAGAGGTAAGTGATCAGCCACACAGTATCTCAAAAGAATCTAATTGCAACCTTGCATGTCAAATCTGCCGAAAACAGGGTCACTCTGCTGACAAATGTTTCTTGCACTATACACCTGATAACAATCACGGCAGAGGTAACAATGCCAAAAGTGTTATTTTCGGGGTTCTAAATTACGAAGTATAAAATGACTAAAATTAAATCTACTAATTATTGCTATCAAGACGTGTGAATTCTCTATCCTTAGAACAATTTCACCCCCACCTTAGGTACTTTGGGTTATGACGAATTGCTTAAAATACTTTTAGATTAATTGACAGTTTTTGACAGTTTCTTTTACCTTTTGCGTTGCGACGGTTTGGACCGTCGCAAATACTCAAACAGCACCAACAGTTATTACTTGTGACGCTCCTAAGCGTCGCGAATGTTCAAGCAGGTACCCCACCATTTCTAATATATATTAAATTAGTATATAAAAAATTGTACCAATTTGTAACACCCGAAAATTTAGAACACTTAATTTATCTGTTTAATTCCTTGTCTAGTGTGTGTGCGCCTTTATACATATATATATATATTTATATATATATATTTAGTCATTAAGTACTTGGGAATAGAAAGCTGTAAAATGAAGACTAAAAAGGGGGGAGTTGCAGCCTATAACCCTACCATGTCTTGTCCTMTAAAGAAAAGAAAGAAAAGGAAGGGGTTAGGTTTCACCTTTCTCCTGCAATCTTAAAGAAGAAAAAGAAAATTGGGGGGGGGGGGGGAAGGAGCTAGACAGAAAAAAAGAAGAAAAGAGTAGAAATGAAAGGAAGGAAAGAAAGGAGAGAAGAAAAGGGAGAGTAGAAAGGGCAAGCATTCTACGGTTGAAGAAGAAGAACAGCCCTGCTGTCTGCTGCCTTTCTTCGTGTTCCGGCTGTCCAAACAGCAAGAGGCTGTCGTGCGTTTTCTTCACAGCAAACAACAACAGCAACAACAAGCAGCAGTCACTGCTGTGCTGTTTCTCCTTCTTCTCGACTAAACAGCCATGCTGCCGTGCGTTTTCTTCACAACAGCAAACAGCTCACGGCTGTTCTTCGCGACAGCAAAAAGCAGCCACAGGCGCTGTTTTGACTTACCGTCTTCGCCGGACAGCAGCAGCAGCAACAAATAAGGGGGGGCTGTCGGTGCTTTTCCGTCGCCTCTCAAACAGCAAGAATCAGCAGCAGAACAGCCGCAGCAAACAGCAAGGGAGCACAGCAGCCTTGCCGGGCTATTTCGGCGCTTCCCGATCACTCTAACAGCAGCCTCGCTGTGTTATTGTTCCGTCGTCTCAGTCGTCGGACAGCAGCAAAGCAGCAGCTCCAAACAGTGGCCGAAAGCCACTGCTTTCTTCGCATCCTCGTCAAACTGCAGCTCCAAACAGTGGCCGAACGCCACTGCCTTTCTTCGTCGTTTTCGCCGAGCCAAACAGCAACAATAGTAGCTGTTGTATTGTACCAGACCCCGCTGTTTTATTGCCTTCTCCATCTTCCTTTTAGCTTCAAGATCTTAGGATWTCTCTTAAATCCTACAATGTGAGTTCATACTAACCTTTTAGAAGTTTTGATACCATTCMTTTGATTTTCTTCATTAATGACTATTTTGGTGAAATTCTTGAGTATTGATCTTGTAATCAATAATATAAACATGGTTAGATGSTATTTTGATTGTTGGAATAAAGATTGAATCCAAAATATGGATTTTAGCCTATTTAGTTTGTGAATTCGACAGCACCAAATCTACCCGAGATGCTGTWTTGAATGTGCGATAACTTCTTAACCGTAGCTCGGATTGCTACGATTCTGGACATTTTAGAAAGCTTATATGTAGATCTA